GAAAGACAGAATTTTGCCTAATAAGAGGCTGCTGAGAGGGGAGGAGATAAAGTTGCCAGCTTTAGGTATGGAAATTCCTGGAGATTTGAGGAGTGGAGCCCGTAGAGGGGGACCTCAGACAGGTTACAGTGCCATAGACTCCACCCTCCAACCCAGCTATTTGCTCCTGGGGAACTATTGTTGCCAATCTTGGCCCAGCAGACATCAAACCATTCTCTTCAACCCCCAACTAAGCCGGGTGCAACAGGGAAAGGATATGTACACAGAGGTCACAGAAAACAGAATGGCAGCTTGCTGACATACTGCCCCCCTTAAAATACACTTACAACACACCTCCCGGGTCGGGCGGGAGATCTCCCGGGCTGGGCGGGAGACCTCCCGGTTTGTCCGGGAACCTCTTGTGGAAACTACGGATCAGGTAAGGGGCCCGAATATCCCCTTCTTCCACCCATTCGCGGTGCTGGGGACCGAAATCAACCCATTCGATGAGGTACCAGAGTTTACCACGTTTCAATTTACAATCTGTCAGCAAGCTGCCATTCTGTTTTCTGTGACCTCTGTGTACATATCCTTTCCCTGTTGCACCCGGCTTGTTTTCTATCATCCTGCTCCTGCGTTGGAATGCACAAGATAACTGCTGGAGGTTGTGTGGGGGAGAAGATGCTGTAATGCTTGCCTATTGCTTTTCTCATGAGTCCTGCACCTGTGTTTTGTCTGATGTTCTGCCTGGTTCCCATGGACTGGGCGCGCAACCGTTTCATTAGCCCGCCAGCGGGAATGCTATTCATTGGATCTGTATCTGTTTGAATTTCCTTTATTATGCTTGCCCTACCTGTGTATCCCCAGTTCTAACAAAGAACGTGTTTGAGTGTCTTTCCAATGCTTTGAAATAAATTTTGCTTTTCTTGAAAACGTGGATTTATTCTCGATGCTTGGGGATCCAACACTCGCCAGCCCTGGCATGGGGGGGTGGGAGGGGAGGGGGGCCGGGCCGAGATTCGGGGGGTCGGAGCGAGGCGGCCGACGGAAGGCCGATGCCTCCGTCGCCCGGCCAAGATTCGGGGGGTGGGGGCGAGGCAGGCGATGGAAGGCCGATGTCTCCGTCGCCTGGCTGGAGTGGCCGCGGGGAGGTCTGGAGTCGGACGGCCGCTGGCAGGAGCCGCGGTCGCCCGGGCCGAGATTGGGGGGGCAAGGCGGGCGACGGAAGGCCGATGCCTCCGTTGCCCGGCCCTCTACAGAATCCACCCCCCAAACCTCCAGGTATTTCCCTCCTTAGAGCTGGCAACCCTACATTCCCCTCAGTGCCTGTTGGTAGGCAACTAAGCTTGGTCCTGTCACCTACTTTGGCCTTTGGGAGAAAACACATTGGGGCCAGTCCTGATAGGGTTGCCAACTCCAGATGGGAAATTCCTGGAGACTTGAGGGATGGAGCCTGAAGAGGGTGAGGTTTGAGGAAGGGTGGGACCTCAGACAGGTACACTGCCATAGACTCCACCCTCCCAACCAGTCAGTCCCACATAGGGAACCATTGTTGCCAATCTCCAGGTGAGGGCTGGAGAGCACTCAGTATTACAACTGCTCTGCAGAAGGGAGGGCAGAAGTCAGCTGAAGTCAAAGGGGCAGATAATGGTAGGTTGATGGCTACCTGGGAAGGAGATGGGGTTGCCAACTACATCCTGACAAATTCCTGGGGATTTGAGGGGTGGAGCCTGGAGAGGGGTGGGGTTTGCAGAGGGGTGGGACCTCAGACAGGTAGAATGCCATAGACTCCACCCTCCAAACCAGCCATTTTGTCCTGGGTAACAATTGCTGCCAATCTCCAGGTGAGGGCTACAGATTACTCACAATTACAACTGCTCTTCAGGTAGCAGAGATCAGTTCCTCTGGAGAAAACAGTGGACTCTGTCATTATACCCTGCTGAGGTCACCACAGCAAATTGACACTGTTTGCCCAAAGCCAGAGCACTGCCCCAGAGCCTCTTTCTAGATCCCGTTGTATTGCTTTCACAACGGGCTTTACTGCTAGTTAAGTATATAAAACTCAATTTTACCTGTTACAAACAGGATGCTTGGAGTTAATAAATACTCTGATTTGAATCCACTTTGATGGTTTACAAATCTTTTCGTATTAATTGACTCCAGGCCAGGGCCGGCTAGCCCGCTAGGTGAACTAGGAGTGGTAAAAGTTCAACAGTCCCCAAAAGGCCTGGAGCTCTGGTGCGCTGGCCCTCAGGGGTGCCAAACTGTGCCCCGCCCCCGTGGGCCAAAGAGCCGTTGCTGCCCTGCGTGCCACGGCCGGACCGCAAGCGCGCCTCGCCCTTGCTCGCTGGCTCTGCGGCCTGGCTCCGGCGCGTGCTGGGGGAAGCGCAAGGCTCTGAAGTGTGCGGGGGCGCGCCTGGAGCGGCCTCGGGGGAAAGGCAGTGCAACCAGTGGGGCTGCGGGGGACGGCGCTCTCCTGGCGGCAGCACGCATTCCGCAGAGCCCTGTTGAGTGGCACAGCCAGGAGGCCCCTCCTCCCTGCTTGATAAATCATACCACTCTCTTAATCCTGTTAAGTATAATACAATTATTTTCACTCATAACACAGCTTGGGACCAGATGAAAAAGAAAACAATTAGAAACACATTCACTTAGATAATATATTAAATAGATGTGTGTGCATAATATGGTTTAATTTCACAAAATATTACTTTAATCTTTGCTAAAAATTAGGATTTAGACTCATGCTGGCCCCAGAGCCAGCTTTCAACTTGTATGAAGAGGACATACTTCTTCATACAACAGACAAATTCTGTGCTAAAGAGTGTGGCAATTATATTGCACTGGTTTTCCAGGGCCTACACACAATTGTACTGGATCCATATAGTGCTACAAAATCATGGAAATCATGGAAATTGAAACAAGAAGGTTTTATTTCCAGGAAACAAGTATCCACAGATGTTCTCAAACAACACCTATATAAATCAGCACACCTGTACAAATCAGTCCAAACTAATGTAACTTGTTTTTTACAATGTTGTTTCTGTTGTTTCTTCCAGAAAACTGAACAATAAAGGCCAATCCTGTAATAATAATAGGTGTTCTAAAAATCATTGAATATGGTGACAATGCTGGAGCAGTTTGAAGAAATAGAAATATTACCTAAAATAATACATTGAATGTTAAATTTCATCTTACAGTCCTTCAATATATAAAATATAAATTACACAATTTAATTTGCAATGATTTTCCAGTAATTGTTAGCAGGTATAAAAACTGTTAAATTTTATATATGTTCTCCTTGTGTCTTTCTGTTCACAGCTTTCTCTGTAATTCTTACAGAATAATTAATATCCATGTACATCAAAGGTCTACGTCAGGTGGGATTAAGCATTAATCTAAAACATTTGAAAAACTGATCTTTAGTATGTTAGTTCAAGAACTAATTAAGGTAACCTAATTGACATCTTGGTGCCTGAATAATTCAAAAGATATGAACTCTATATTTTGTAATAGTGGAAAGTCATAATTTTATATAAATAGCTCTAATTCTTCACAAGAATTGTTATTATGATACCATAATCTCCACTCCCTTAACCTTGCATAGCTAAACAGGAAAGTTTTTAATGTGGCTACTAAGATTTCCTCTTTACTTAATAAAGATTTAATCTAAATCATATAACTAATAAGAGAATCAAAATCTGAATAGATTATGACATGAGATTTTGATGTTCTTTTACAGCTATAAGTATCACTTTCCACCATCCATTTCTTTAAATGTCCTTTACCTCAAGAGAAATCTAATTTTATCACATGAAAAGGCTGCATACCTTCCTTTCACATTTGGACTTTGCATACATTTGGACTTTGCAGCTGATCTGGGCTGCATCCACACACTACTTGATATTGCACTATAGCAATCATTCAAAATCAAATTATCCTATGTGGAGAAGACAATCCTGTTGAAAATTATTGCTATAATGCAGTGATAACACAGTATCCAAATGGTGTATGGATGCAGTCATAGATTCCTCAAGATCACAATATTGCAAAGAATAAGGAGTCTTAAAGCTGATACAGAAGGAACCAGTGAATTCTTGCCATTTTAGGAGGCATAAGGTTAATATGACATCATTAATCAAAGTCTGCACGAATACCCTATAGCCTATCAAAATCCAGCATGCTAGAATTGGATAACTGGGGAAGGGGTTAGCCTTTTTGCATTTATTTTGTATTTTGTAGGCATAGTACACACACACAAAAGTATGGCCTTTTGTCAAATCAAGCATCTTGAATTGTGTCAGTAAGGCAAATTTGTGTTACTAAGCCAATCAGTGGAAATAATTTAATCATCATCATACTTATAATTTATATAGGGTGTTCATGGATCAAATTGCTTCACATATATTATCCTTTGTAATTACTTATACTGGTCTTGTAAGGAATCCCTTCATTTATCATGTTGTAATGCTTCAGATTGTAATACATAGATAGCATTCTTTATAAGTCTTAATGACTGATTTGTGGGTCAGACTATCACGACTGTTGGCTTTATACTTGTTTACTGATTGGATCGTGTTTGTCCAGATTTATCCTCTTTTTACTCCACCATCAGCCTGAGACATGTAAAAAGACTGTACAAATCAATGCGAGGACTGTCATCAAACCTGAAGTGTGAAGCAACAAAACTACTGTTGCTGATATTCAACATGAAAGAAGCCTACGCCACAGCAGCAACACCCAAGTAAAATAGTAAAATGACTCCCCAGAGACGGAGTCAGAAAGTGCAGGTTCCCTCATTTTTTCAGGCCTGTTTATTTCTCTAACTTATAAAGATGTACTGGTAAGTCTGGGTATACACGTAGAAAGAATTAAAAATAAAAATAAAAAGCCTTACTGAAAAATACTAGGAAAACTTGTAACAGGTTACAGATACACACCACACTTGTTAATATGCCTAACCTTTATCCAGCGATGGTTAGCCTCCTTGAGTCTGGTGTCAAGCTTATGTTTTACTTCAGGGTTCAGTGATGCACTACCAAGTGCTTTTCCTCCAGCTTCATTTAATCGTTTCAGTATTCCCTTGTGTAGAGGCAGTTCTTCCACTCTTAACTGGAACAGACAAATGCAACATCTAAAATGAACTGTAGTAGAATTTTCAGCTCCCTTATCTTCACCTCTATTGATTAGTTTATCAGCTGAAGTAACTAGACTCCAGAGCTCAATTCAGCACAAAATATACACAGCTTTTGTTCTAGGTTGCAATGCCTTGGGGGGTGGGGAGTAAGTCCTGCCTCTGCATCAGGAAGACTTTCCTCAGAGGCAGATGCTCACCACAGTGTCAAAGCCATAGTGGGAAAGGAATGAAAAAAATCTCAGGAGAGAGAAAAAATGCCGTCCCCTAATGTCTAATTCTGGCCTTGATAATTTTTCTTTGACTTTATGAACCAACCCAAACACTCAGAAGCCAGACTCATTTTTCAGGAATCAGGGTTTTGTATTTTAAAAATCATATTTTCTACTTATTGCTACCACAAAACCTAATCCTAAACTCTTCTCAGTGTCTCATTATTTTATTAAAGCTATGACAAAAGTGCTGCTGTATAGGTGGTAACCCTGCTTGCCATCACTTTTAACAAACAGCCTCTGGTCTGATGCTGTAGCCTCTCCCCAGTTTCTTAGAACTTTGTTATTGCTTTAAAAAGCTTGATTGCATTGACTGTTAGAGACTATATAGAAAGCAACTGGTTCATCTATCACCACTGAATGAGGTAAAGTTAACATATGAACAAGCAATGACAAGAACTTTATGAACCTTCTGATGTGAAATGATAAATAAGTTTTGTACTTCAATGTGGATTGTGGAGACACACTACAATAAAATCATTGATGAAAATACAAGGCACCGCAAAGCAATTTCCAGGCACCAAGACAACCTGGTGACTGGGACAGGATGAGCCCTGGTCTAATGATCCCCAGAATTTGGCCACTGGGAGCTTTACAGGTTAAAAAACAACAACACCACCCAACAACAACAGGAGATTCATTAATTGTATATTAGACTTCTCTGCTGTGTCAGTCAGTATCTAGAGCTGACATTATCAGGCAGCTGCTGAAGCCCTCACACCTTGAGAGGACCTGCAGACTAGCTATGACATAGGAATAGTGATCTCTTGTGACCTTCCTCCAGACATGCTTGAGTAAGCAAATGTGATGACTACTAAGAAGAAAAAAAAAAGCAGCTGCCACCACTTGCATTCCTGTACTTCTTCGGTATGTGGTGGTTGCTGCTGCCACATCTAGCAGCTGTTGTTATCCATTTGCTGGTTAAGTGAACAGGACTGGCAGCACTAAATAGCAACAACCACTAAGGTCTGCTTTCTGGTTCTATGTTAATGTCGATATAATTATTTTATTGATTTACAAAATTTATACCCCACCTTTCTGCTCTCAGCAGGGCCACCAAGGTAGCTAACAGATTAAAAACATACATAATACATCTTTAAAAAGACCATTAAAACCAAACAGAAACACATTCTAACAATTAAAACCAAGTTAAAATACTCATACATGAAAATAACAATTAAAAACAGGGCAGGAAAAAGGAATCATTGAAGGATAAAACAAAAAAGACAAAACAAAAAGATGGCAACAGAAGGGGACAGAGTTCTAGAGTTTTCATGACATGACCAATACCTCTTCTAGGTTTCCATCAGCCTAATCTCAGAAACTGGGCCCACCCAAATTAGGGACTTAGATGATCACCACAGTGGTCAGGAAGGTTCATAAGTATCCTGGTCCCAAGCCATGTAGGGCTTTAAAGGGCAATGCCAGCAGCAGGGCTGGATCCAGGTTTTTTTCCACACTAGGCGATGCTACCTTCTGGTGCCCCCTGGTGCATCCACCAATTTCCTGGTGCCCCCCGGTGTGCCCCCTACCCCAGCACGACAGCCCCATGGAAAAAGAAAAAGAGGGAAGAAGGGAATGGGTGCCATTGGGGGTGGCCTCAGCCCGGCTGCTTGCTTGCTTTCCTTCCAGGAAGGGGCCCCCCGAGCCACCCCTTCCTGCACTGGGGGCGGCCGTTGCAGTTGACCAGGATGATGGCCAGCATGTAGTCCTTGCCCAGCATGGCTTCAGCGGCGGGCAGGCGCACAGCAGCCAGCGAGTGAGTGAGGGTGGCAGCAGGGAGGTTCTGCTGCCCGAGGCTGGTGCCGGAGTGTGGGGCAGGGTGGAGCTGCGTGGGAAGGAGGGCGGAGCCCGGCAGGGGGCCTGCTGGAGGCCAGAGCAGCATGGAGTCCCCAGAGGAGCACGCCTGGAAGCTGGTCTCTGCCGCCGCTGTGCGGGGTTGCAGCAGCATCGCTTACCCTGTTTAGGCAAGGGGGGAGAGGGGTGGCAGGCCAGTGGGGTGCCCCCTCTTAAGGCCGCTGCCTAAAAATTCTCTGTGATGGGCTGGCCCTGGCCAGCAGCTTGAATTGTGCCCAGAAACGTACTGGAAGCCTGTGTAAATGACAAGATCTGGAGTAATGTGGTCTCAACGATTCACTTCAGTCAGCATCCTGGTGGCAGATTCTGCATCAATTGACATTTCCAAACACTATTCAAGGGCAATCCCATATAGAGTTGTCATGACTCAGGTGGGGTGTCATCTGAAGCTGCCACCACTCTGGATGTAGGTTCCCTTGAGAAGGCCCAGAGCACCCTCCCAAGACCTTCAGATCTCCCTTTTGGCTGAATAACAGGCGTGAGGACCAGGCAGAGTGAAACAAGGAAAAGGTTTATTTTATAGGAGGTCAAACAACAAGGTGCAGAATAATAACAGTAAGTGGATGAAAATAAAAGAAATCAAATGCCCTAACGCATTTAAATATATACTGTCCCTAGCTCACAATTCCTTTTTTTTTTGGCCCCCCGAAGGGGATTTTTTAATTGCATTTTATATATAGACTACAAACTACAATGAAAAAAGGGAGGGGTACTACATTTAGGGAGAAAGTAAAGATAACCACTACTGACTAAAAACCCAAGAGAGGAGATCTTCAAAATAGCTTATATACTATACCATCCCTTTAAATGCTACATTCTATGAACTTAGTCAGTCACGCTTTTATAACTTTTAAATCTTAAATTTAACTGTTAAGAAAGATTCCCTCAGCATCTCCATGTTAAAATATCTTATTTATCAGAGTTCCATTCAGAGTCTTTCAACCTTCATTTCTTCTTGTCTTGTCTCTTCCACAGTTTGTAAGGACTTTTAGGAGTCGCTTCACCTTTCTCCGACAGAGAGTTCTCACCAGAGGACCCCGAGTCCAGCTCGGCACTGGACTTACTGTCCTTTTCCTCTTTATCCACCTCCTCTGGCTCACCCCGCTGTGCTCTCAAAAAGTCTTGTGCTTTTGCCACAGAGTCAATCTTTTCTTTCTTTTCCTGGAGTTTAAAGGTCACGCCCTCTGAGTATAACCACCTATAAACCTTTATAACCATCTGAGTATAACCACCTATAAATCTTTATACTTCTTTCTCTGTTGTCTTATTTCAAATGGGATATCTTTCAAAATCCGATTAGTCTTGTCCTCAATTCTCAAAGGTGTCCCCACCGTCACTCTCAGGATACAATCCCTTACGTGCCTCTTCGAGAATCTCACCACAATTTCCCCAGGCAGATTCCCCACATCCATTTCGCTCATAAGATCGTCCGCCTTTAAATCTGTCACTGGGGCCAATTCTTCGCTCATCATATGCTTCAGAGTCTCTCCTTTGCTCTCTGGGACATCCTGGAAGCGAAGAACCAGATTTGCTTTTTCCATTTGTATTTGTAAAAGCTGTTCTTCTGTTGAGTTTTGCTTCTTTTCCAATTTATACACCTTTTTCTTCACCTTTTGTGTGGTGGCATCAAACTCTTTCACTTTCTCTGTTGTTTTGTCCAGAATTTTAAGTGTATTGTTGATTTGTGTCTGCTGGGTAGATATCCATTTATTCATTTTTGACAGCTGCTCTTGAAGATTAGTCATCTGCTCCAGCAGGGCAGGGGGCACAGGGACTCTGCCATCGTTTTAGCCAACTCGGTGATTCTTTCCGGTCTTGGACTCTCAGCTCCTTTCGTTTTTAAAAGCTTCTCCTTCTCCGTCCTCTTTCCCGCCATCTTTTTTGATTGTTTACTTTTGCCCAACTTTTAAAAGTCTCTGAATTTGCCCTCCACCACTCATGTGTGCCTTGGTAAATCTTTCCAGCAGTTTTTTAACCGCTTTGCTTCTGCTCCCCCCCCCCCGATCTCACTTAGAGTTTGTGCCCCTCCCCTGCTCGCTTTGCCCTCTAGTCCGGGGGGTTTGGGGGGAGCTTTCTTTTTAGTTTATCAAATCGCTTTCATCTGACTCACGTTCATTATCGGCCATCCGACCTCTTTTACTTTCGTTTTCCACTGCTCGACCTCCTGTGCTTGTCCCGGCCAGCTTCACTAATTCCAAACAGACACAGATGGAGGGACCATGGGGATGAAGAAGTGCCTTGATTCTCCAGCATCGTGCTGGGGAAGAGGCAACCCCTCAGAAGTCCCTTGGCCAGGAGGCTTTTGCCAGTCTCCTGGGGGGAGTGTGATACATCGCCCCCCTCCTTTCCGCCTGTACTCAGTTTCACCCTCAGGAGGTGCGACTGCTCAGCGTGCAGCCATCCACCGGACTTTGCAGTAGGCCTGTGTCTGTGTGTACCCCCAAACTACGGACCTGTTTCTTCAAGGGGAGTGCAACCCCATCCACAACAGGTGATACTAAGGCCCAGGTCAGACTTTCTGTTCATCAATAGCATTTCCATCTTGTCAGGATTAAAATACATGAATAAATGAGGTTGGAGAATACAGTTTAAATAGGTTGATAAGCAGGGCTCCTACATTTTCTTGCTTGGGACCCCTAGAATCAGTCTTGGGTAATGTTCACTAAACATATGAAAAGGGAGCTAGAGGGTCTCCGGGTAAAATGTGAGAGAATCTATCTTCTTCACTTTCCATGAATTTATATCAGCATATGAAGCTGCCATACCAAAACAGTATAGTTCAGTACTACCTACTATCATTGGCTGCAGTTCTCCAGGCTATAAGGCAGATAATTCCCCCCCGCCCAACA